TTCATACCTGAACACCTACCTGGAAGACCTATGACCATGTGACAGCTGAGAACATTTTGCTTTCAAATAATGAACACAAATTGGTTAAACTTAGGACTTAGCAGAATTTCCTGAATGATGAAATCCCTTCTGGTCAATCACAGAAATTTATTTTGTAAGTTAGTACAAATATTGCAAAAGCACTACTTGGCAAAGAAATTTCAAAATCATGAGAAGTGAATAGTTTCATTAAACCCAGTTAATACCTGTCAGGAAGCTACTAGAGAAACTTTATTTTCAAGTAAATAACCTTATTTTTAGAGTAACATAATCCCATAGGTCAAAGATTGTAGAAACCTAGAAAAAAGTAATTGTAACTTCAACAAAGATATTATGCCAAGCCACTCCCATAAGGCACTAACTTCACTATCTGTATAAGCCAACTTCAGACTAGAAACACAAGAATCCCAGTATTCTGAATAAGAGTTTGAGACTCGTGCCTTGCAGATTTAGTTATATAAAATGATAGAATATCATGCTTTCCTAATTCAATGTACAAAAAATATTGCCACTTCTCTTTACTTCCTCACACCATCCTAACACCAGAAGAACTAAACATATTGACATATATTACTCTGTCATATGTGTTCGTATTAATAACAGAAATACTCTTTTTCATGAAATTTGCTGAATCTCAAATCAAACATTTTTTTCACTTTAGTATCTAAGTTCAAGAGTAATAATTAAGTTACTCTGATTGTTCCTTTTATAATTTTCCAAAACCTTAGAAATATAATTATTATAAAAAATATGAATGCATTACAATAATTTTATGGCAGTTTTAAAAATAATATTTGCAGTACTACAATAAAGTAGGTGAGCAACAAGAAACCTGATGTTGATTTGTTGGGTCCACAAACTTTTTCAATTCTAAAAAATGAACACCCATTTACTTTGGAGGATAACTTAAGTTCTAATATCAGAGGACATATACCTTTAAAGGCTTAATCACAATTAAATCAGTATTGTCATAATTTGCCTTTGCTCACATTCAGAATACACATATTTTTATATTTCAGGTTCATTGTTCATTCATCAGATGATATAGACTACCAACTAAGTGCTTTGGGGAATAAAAAAACAAATAAAAAATAAGATTTTTGCCTTAAAGAAAATTTCAGAAAAACCTGCTAATATAATGAATAATTCACTCCAGACTTGTGGTGGGAGAGGACATTTGGAGGTGGAGGAGAAAGAGGACTAGGACCCAGATATAGGAAGGAGGTATGAAGACAATCACGGACAGAGTCAGATACTGTTGTGTGTGTGTGTGTGTTTAAGGATAGAGTTGTATTCCTTTGGGGTGGTGTGAAAGGTGGCCAGTACAAACTTTGGAGAATTATACATTATTTGGAGTAGTAGTACTGAGTGGAAGAATTCTCATATATACATCTGATAGAATCAGTAAGTACTGGTTGCCATATATAAGCATGGATTTTCATATTATTTTTAATTTCATTGTGTTTTTTTTGTAAGAGGTTCAGAATAATAAAGCAGTTATTATGGACAACAAGCACAATACTACAAACATCTTTTTAATTTTTAAATTTGCTTCATAACAATGTTTCTGGCAGCTTGATTATAATCCATTGTGTTGTGATCAATTTGTTCTTTTGGCTTTATTTTTCTGCTGAATAATTGGCAATAGCAGAGTAGCTATACAACGATCATCTGTTATATGGCTTCTTATTTGATGTACAAAATGTTAAACCTCATTTTATATAAAAATCACAGTCACAAAATTAATTAGTTTTTGAAAACTGTTAAGCAAGTATTCTATATTTCCTCTTAATTTGTAGGTTGAGTTTTTATCATTCTTAGTCACAAATGGCAGAAAGCAGTTCCAAATCTAAATTCATTTTACCACAGTCATGACATTTTCCAACTGTCTTATAAATTTGCAACATTTGTTAAAAGGGAAGCTCGTAAAGCAAAATGTGGCACTAGAATAAAATGGGCCTGTGGCTATGAGTCTACCATCTTCAAAGACAAAATTAGTGCTTAAAATTTAACATAATGATTATATCAGTGATTCGTTACTGAGTACTCACAATGTGCCAGTCTCTGTGTTGAGCAGTCCAGGTGCATTATCTCTTTAGTCCCAACCCTATGATATTATTGTTATTCCCATTTTACAGGGAGAAAGAATAAGCCTTAGAAAAGTCTCTGCAATTGGCTTATGGTCCAACAGGTAAGAGGAGAAGCAGGGAGTCAAAACTAGTCCGCTGAGGTATAGGTGTAGGTGTGGACACTATTAATATCCCGATTCTACAGGTGAGAAAAATTGAGGCTTAGAGAGGTGTAAATAATTCTGTTAAGCTCAGACAGCTAAGTGGAGACATTGGTATCAAACAAAGGTCCTTCATATTCCAGAGCTTAGCTATATTGCCTGTCAGTATGCATACTAAATATTGACAGATTTTAAGTTGTAAGCATGTTATTTATGTCTCCTTTGTTCTGACACAGAGGAGACAAAATTTGGGAAGTAATGCACACAGGTGTTAATTGGGAAGAAGAAGGACATTTGTTAAGGATACAGCTGAAAGCTAGAGATTAGTAGCAAAGAGAATCTTATTTTTAGGGCCATCACATTCCATTTTACTATTTTATTATTTTAGGGCCATCACATCAAAGTAAGAGTGTTTGAGGAGAAAGTGATTTACCCTTCCTGAATTTCAGCCAGAATACTGGCATCAGTTTTCCAAAGTCAGAAACAGTATGTCAGACAGAGTCCTCCAACTAGTCCTTTACTAAGTGGCCTGGAGTAAATTCATTTGGCTAATTCCCCATTTGTGTGCTTTACTTTACACTCTGTCTTGTACCCTAATTAGTTTTACTTTACCATGTCTCATTTTACAAATGAGAGTGTTACGGTCCTGGGCAAGAACAATATTTTTCTTCTTTGCAAAGAGTGCTTGTGCTAGGCATTCAATCTTAAAAGGTGATGGAAACTCAAAGCTCAGAATCTATAAAAACACTTTTGTATCCCACTAATAGTTTTGTTAAATGAACAAAAGTAGCAGGTAGTCCCTGATTTTTCTTTATTATGAATATCAGGGGTCACAATAATACATTATATTCCAGAGAAATCAATTCTTTATCAAAGATAGTGAACTGTAATATGTAGAGATTTATATAACAATTTGGGGTCTTGAGTATTCATTGATTATGTCTTGTAGGCCTTTACTTTTAGGCATGGGGAAATGGTAAGATGAAGAAACAGAAACTATTCATTTTGTTAAAAATCTCTTAGTTATATGAGAAGACATTTGTAAGCTGGGAAGAACTTTTTAATTTGAATGAAGAAACTTTTTAATTTGAATAGTAGGAAATTGTGTTCAAACACAAACAAATTTACGTTTGTCTCAAGACTAGTTGTACTTTATTATAAGAAAGGAAGTTGGTATATTTGTGTGCATGTGTATGTTTTTACCACAGAGTGTGGTATCTTCCACACTTAGTGTCCCTTAGCATTTGAAATAACATTATGTTTGCATTTTGCATAGATACAATATTCAGATCAACTGGCCCCTCCTGCTGAGAGGAGCACAAGCAAGATTCTATTTCCAGCAGCTATATTTTTAATAATATAATTTTGAATTTATATTAAAGTGAATACTTTGTGGTTTAGATTAGTTACTTTATACTTTGAATATGCTTTTTAGTATGTCTTTATTATTTCAAAAATATATATAATTTAAGAATTTAAACTATTACTCAGTAGTAATTGTATTATTTTATCCCGTATTAGCATGTGGATGGTCTCTTTTTAATAATAACAAAGCAAGGCCTTAAATTATATTTTAGATGCTCATTTCATGAATAATGTCACTGCTTTGTTATAAGTGTTAGAAATGTTAAACAATAAATTGTCATTAGGTATTGGCTTTTGTTCCTTCATCATCTAAAAGGGAATTTTATGAATGATGCATCACAGTGCTACATATATTTACATTCAAAGACCGGTTTTTAATGTTTTTAAGTTAATGTCAGTGAATCTTTAAAAATCGCTATGAATAATGAAGCCATTCACTGTGTTCGGAGATTTTGCCTTTCTTCGGTGATACAATTTTCTTCTTATTTGAAAGAGTATTTAATTGCATTGCTCATCCACTTTTAATATTTAATAATAATTTTATTAGCTGTATAGAATGAGAAAGGCAGGAATTGCAATATCTAGTGCTGGTCATCAATTTTTTCTTATCATGACTTAATGAATATTATAATTACAAGGAGAGGCAGAAATATAAATTAGCCTGGTAGTTGGTTAGGATTTGCTAGTTTATTGGTTTTAGCTTGGGCAAAGCCCAGAATAAGCACAAAGAGAAAGAAACAAATATCTAGGGGTGCTTTAGAAGTCCTGGCACAAAACTTTTGCCATCTACTAATGATTCTGAATAATGAACACAGAGGCCTTTGATTAAAGTTAAACACTGCCAATAGCAATTCCTGCTGGTTCCATAGCAATTGATAGGGGACCTTGACATCTTAAAACTTAGTCTTGGCAGATTAATGTTCCTTCAATCTTTATTAATGCATTTTGACAACTTTTTATTATCTTTTCTTAAATATTGTTACTGTTCCTTGCTTTTAGCTAAGACAAAGCATGACTTATCTTGAGTGAGAAGCTATGGAATGGCTATGCCATAATCGTAATAGTACTTTTTACTTAAGTAGCAGCTCTCACCTGATGCTTTCAAAGTGCTTTTGAATATTTTTGGGGTATGAGATAAAGGTTAGGGAGAAAATTCTTTCGTAGGCACCCTATGCTTAAAGCCTCAATAGAAATATAATCTCCAGGGACAGAAAAGTAATTTTCATATTTAGTGATTTAGATATGGACATGTGTATTAGATGATTCTTAAATTTTCAATGCTGTTTGTTCAAAGTGGAACCAGAAATTGTTGAATTTAATGTGTTTTAAACCTATTTTAAAACAAATCGTTTTTAACCCCCTCCAGCAACTGCTTCGAGAACGACAGCAGATGGCCAGCCGCCCCTTTGCTTCTGTTGACGTAGCTCTGGAAGTTGGAGCCGAACAAACAGACTTTCTGCGAGGGCCCTTAGAGGTAGGAACAGTGGTGCTGAGAGGGGGCCACTGTGATTCGCATATTTATGTTGCTTCTGTAAACTGCGTCTGCTTGTGAGCCCAAACAAAGTCTGATTATCTAGAGTTGACAAAATTCAGCTACATATGATATGCCATTTTCAAGGGTCATAGTTTTAATAGCATGACATGAGCTGTAGCAGAAGCCACTGGAGAATGTATTAGCC